TCTGCTGTTGTTATGAACTTGTGTGCGTTTACAGCCATGGTCAGTTAGAGGAATGTGAAAAGCCTGGTCCCGCAGCCTCAGGGCCCCAACATCTGTCTGTCCTATGTTACAGACTCTTGTAAATCAGTATGCGAATGACACACCACTATATCTGCCAGGCGAGATAATGAGAACATGCAGACAGGTCTCGTGTTCTTGCATATAGGCACGATACATTCAAAATTGTCCGATAGTTAAAAGTAATAGTCTGTATGCTAAATATACCAGGGAAGCTGTTCCCCGTTTCCAGTCTTTATGTTAAGCTAAGCTAATCAGCTGCTGGGTGTAGTTTATGTTTATCAGACAGTTATAGGCTAAGGAAATAACCTTGTCTCCAAAAATGTTGAAGAGGGAAACAGCTAGCCTCTGTCCGAAGGTAACAAATCCACCTAACAGCACCTTTAAAGCTCATTAATTAACATGTTGTATCTGGTTTGTTCTGGCATCTAACTAACTCCCCATAAAACCATTTGTCAGGGTGTCAGGGACCAAGCGGCAAGACACAGGTTTTTGGGTTGCAAAAATAAGAAAAGGCTAAGAAATAATTTAGTCAGTTCCTGAAAGAGGTCGACAAAACAGAACTCAACTCAAAATACTGTAAACAGAACTTCAACAGAACTGAGTGAATTTACTGACCTCAACAAAGACCAGACTGACTTAACTGACAATACATGAGGGGAACATATAGACTGACTGGCCAAACCAGACCAGCAGCACAGAAGAAAAGAAATTATATTAATGCTTGAACTTGAAGATATCAGAACTTACGTGTTGACATTGCTAAATTAAATAAATGTGCACACTTAATCTAGTATTGATACTACATTTCAAAATCCAAATCGAACATAGCCTAAATGCCAAATCAATGGTTTAATTATATGAGTGCTGACTTAACTCAATCAGTAAAAAGGTAAAATTAAAGTGAAAGTGAATGTAAATTTTACATCACCTTGTGTTTGTCTGCTGGTGAGGCTGTGGGTGCTGCATGATGCTTTGTTTGTGGTGTGGATTGGCACCTGATAAGTCGCCTTTGTCATTGGTCTGGTTATGCCCTCTGATATGGTGGTGAAACAGCACTGATTGTGGAGATGGTTTTGAAGATGATTGTGTTCATAAATACAACAGAAAACTAAGACATGTTACAGGTGTTGAGGTATGACAGTGCCATCTACTGCGCTTTGGTTTGTATTACATTACAGTTATTCTTATAGTGACCTTTTGCATCTGAATTCTCCACACACAGAAACATGTGATGCTTTAGATACAATTACACACTGTCACATATTGTCGATGATGTTTAACAAGACAGTCCATACATTGCACTCCTCATGCATTGATTTAGCTGTAGTACAATCGACCAGTACATTTTGTTGTAGACTAAAACACATGTCTTGAATGAAATGGGAGTTCAGAGTCAAAATCATATAATTTTCATCTTATATGGTAAATAAAAATTAATCTGAATGTACAGTGCTGATAAAAAGCACCATACCTAGATAAACAGACTCCAGCTAATACAAAGCTTGCAACAATAAAAAGGGCTCAAGTAACCACAGACACACACAAGCTGTATACTGAATATTTGGTTTCAATGTGGACAAGGCAGCTGCAAATATCTGCTTCCCTTGTCTTCACCTTCGCCTAATGCAACTCTTTAATGTATACAGATAGGAAGCATCGCCAGAAATGTATCAGTCATATTCAGGTAAATGTTTCTAACAAAACACTCCAGATGAGAATGATTTTTTGTAATTGTTTGAACCGACTATTTAAAACAGACTGAACATCAGATAAGATTTTTGTTGAAACATTTATGTAACACTAAAAAGTTGAAATTTTTTAATGTGCACACAAGCTTCAGTTTCAAGCAGAGCTCTTGTTACACTACACCCAAGGTAGCTAAATTTTGACAGAACACCCCCGAGAAGCATGTAAATCATGACAGTTGGCGAAGGAAAAAATAAATGTACAACCAACTGGTAAAATCTTAATACATATCATATCTTTTAGTTCCTCAACATCCAGTTTTCACCTTAATTTTTAAGCAGTTTTAAGTTTGTTAAAAACATCAGATTCTACACCATCTGACAGCAGATTAGATTAGATTAGATTCACCTTTATGTCATTGCGCAAAGTAAGTACCAGAACAACAAACACTTGTTTGTTTGTTTACGCCATTGTAAATAAGAACGTAAAAATAAAGAAAAAAATGCAGTTTAGCATCTTACCAGATGCAAACAGTTGCACATATATAGATGTGCAAATTAAGGGTAAGCAAATATACTGGATGAAAAACATGATACTGGGGTAGAGATAAGTGCCAATTAACAAATAACTTCACATAAATTATCTCATTATACTTTTCATTTACAGCAGGTTTAAAGAGACAGAGAGAGGTAGGGAGAGAGGGGAAAAGAGAGCAGGAGGAACAAGAACACACAGTTGCATAATGCAAGTTCAACATAGAGACTATAATAATTGTAGCAAGGGGTGTTGAGCAGTAACACGGGGGCAGCAGGTGGCCTGCAACCACAGATCCAGACCCCACAGCTCCGAAACAGCTGCAGAAAGCAACAGAAGGACAAGGGAGAGGGACAAAAAAGCACAAAACTAAGGGAGAGGAAAGAAGTCAAGTCATGCATTAATAGGAGAAGAATGCAGACAGATGGAGAAGAGGAGGAGGAGAGAGGAGCTCAGTGCATCATGGGAAGTTTACCAGCCTTCTAGGCCTACAGCAGCATATCTAAGGGATGTTGAGGGCTCACCTGGGCCAACCATAACTATAAGCTTTATCAAAGAGGAAAGTCTTAAGCATACTCTTAAATGTGATGATAGTGTCTGCCTCCCAAACCCAAACTGGGACCTGGTTCCACAGGAGAGGAGCTTTAAAGCTGAAGGCTCTGGCACCTATTCTAGTTTAGGAGACTCTGAGAACCACAAGTAATCCTGCATTCTGAGAGTGCAGTCTAGTAGCGTAATAATGTACGATGAGCTCTATAAGATATGATAGTGCCGAATCATTATGGTGTTTGTAGGTGACGAGAAGGATTTTAAATTATTTTCTGGATTTTACAGTGAGCTCGTGCAAAGAAACTAAAACAGGAGAAATATGATCCTAGTTCTCCTAGTTCCTATGTCCTGCAGTATTCTGGATCAGCTGGAGAGTCTTACAGGACTTGTTCCAGCAGCCTTATAATAAGGAATTGCAATAATCCATATTAGAAATAACAAATGATTGGACTAGTCCTTCTGCATCATTTTGAGGACATGTCCTGATCAAAGATGACTCTGAGATTCCTTACTTTGATGCTGGAGGCCAGGGCAATACCATCCAGAGAAACTATATCTTTAGATAATGCATCTCGGAGTTGTTTGGAGTCAAGTACAATAATCCTAATCTTATTCTACCTAACAATGGAGATTTGTGGAGTATTTCCTAATAATATTGCCTGAAGGAAGCATATATGTGAATAGAACTGGTCCGAGCACAGAACCTTGTGGAACTCCGTGACTAACTCTGGTGTGCATAGAAGATTCATCGTTTACATGTATTATAATCTGATATATAGGATGTGATGACCACGGAGGCCGAATGCAGCACTAAGAAGAACAAGACAAAAACAGAGACAAGTCTTTTGTCTGATGCAATTTGCTACTCTAAATCCTGACTGAAAATCCTCAAATAAACTACTTCTAAAAGACATGCGACTGGTTGGCGATTGCTTTCTTAAGGATCTTAGAGAGAAAGGGAAGGTTGGATAGGTCCATAGTTAAGCTAAAATCCCTGGATCAAGAGTGGGCTTTTTAAGAAGATGTTAAATTACAGCTACTTTGAAGGTCTGTGGTAGCCTGTTAATAAAGATACATTGATCATGTCTGTGTGCTAACTAGCTGTGAGAATTGATTAATAATCAATCACAGCTTCTTTTATAGCAGCTTAATTGGGATGGGGCCCAAGAGACAGGTTGATGTCAAAACAAGACAATACACAAAATGTATAGTACAAATGAACAGTATCTCCACTAGACGTTTAACTAAACTTCTGTGGGTTTGAACAATATTGGGCTGCACAGCATGAGTTAATAATCAGGCACAATCTGTAGGCACAATGAATAGGCATAATGTCAGCTTCTTCTAGTCCCTTTAAAAACAAATGACAAATCCGACCAATTACTTAGATTCATAATTTACTTGGTAATATTAATTAGTAATATTAATATTTTTTTCGTTGAGTGAAATCAATGCATTTGTCAAATCTTTTATTTTTATCATCCAATTAAATATCCATTTGCTATTTTAGAAGCATTTGACTCTCCATGTCCACTACAGCCCATATTAACTCTGATGTATTATAATAGCGAAATAATTGAATGACTTATTGGATGCAGGGCAGATAATAACACCAGTCCAGCCAGACATTTTTGTCTGAATTCAATCAGCTGAGCTCCAGCTCGCTGTGTGCATGTTTTCCACTAGAGGGCAGGACTCTGTGGCTGTGGCTGCATGGGACAAACAGGCTCCGGCTGGGTTGGCCTCTTCAGGGGCGGATGTTTTCTCAGTGCAACTTCCCAATCTCCCCACCTCCCCCCCACCTCTAAACCAGACCAGGCCCAGAGTCCGAAGACTGAGCCCAGCAAGCAGCCCAGTCTCATCTTTGGCTGTCACCTCTGTCTACACTTAGCCCTCAGCCTCTGTCCTTCAGCAGGAGAAAACCAGACAAACTGGAAACTAAACAACGGCCAAAGACTTTTAAGTTAATTATAATATATCACTAATTACTAGCCATCTTCAGGGCTGAAAGTGACTTATTTGATGCATTTGGAGCTGTGATGAAAACACGACTAACGTGTTACATAAGCCTTGTGTTGATGGTTTCTGTCTGTGCTTGGAGTGAAATATTTCCCCCTGCAACTGCGGTAGCTTTAAACCCTGCAACCCCGCCCCTCAGCACTATCACATGAATCTGGACTGAGCAGTGGATGTGAAAAAAGTTTGGAGGTCTCGCTGAGATCACTCCTCTCCAACTGGTTTAATACATGTTTTTTTTCCATTTGGGGAGGCTTTTAGTTGGAGGTCCACATCGGAAATCAGTGTCTGTCTGAGTGTTTCCTCGGCTGTGATTTCTCCAGTTTCTTTTTCTTTTCTTTTTTTTTTGTCCTGCAGGAATACAGAGAGAAACAGGGAGAGAGAGAGCGAAAGAGAGAGAGAGAGAGGGGGAAACGGTCTGGCTGCTTGAAGGTATGTGGGAGGCATGTAACGTGTTGCACGCTGCACAGATTGATTTTTGTCAGCGATCCGCGCTTTAAACGGCGCCCCTTAGACTTCTTTGCCCGATGATCGATTTTCTTTTCACAGCTGATTAACTTCCGAGATGTTACAGCTTGAAACAGACACACAAGGACACAAAAGTTCAAATGGGGTGGGGGTTGGGGGGCGGGGGTGGGGGTCAAAATGTATAAACATACGATCGTGATTCCAGCACTCGGGCGCATAGTCGTAACGGGCTTTACGTTTATTTTCTGATTGTGTTTGTGTGATTGAACTTTTCGACAGATTTGTTGCGACACCAAAACTTTGGCGACATGAGCGCGCACGGCGGCGCGCCTCCGGCCGGGCAACAGATCGTGCACGTCCGCGGGGACTCCCAGACGGAGCTGGAGGCCCTCTTCAGCGCTGTGATGAACCCCAGCAAGGCGGCAAGACAGCCGTCCTCTCTGCCCATGAGGATGAGGAACCTGCCGGACTCCTTCTTCAGGCAGCCAGACTCCCGGGGCCACTCCAGACAAGTACTAATAACTGCTGTTAACTACTAATAACTGCTGAACGACAGCTGCTTACCGCACCATGCTGGTTTTCAGTGCTAACCCTGGTGTGTTAAGGCAATCACGACAAACTACATGAAATGCACAGTGTTCAGTAACCCTGCAGCACAATACTACCTGCTGTGTCAGTGGTGTGGTATGAATAGATGTTTCTCATTAATATTGGGTCCACCTCATACACAAGAGAGACAAAAAAATGAACCATTCCAAGGAAGTCCTGAAACTATTAGTTAACTGATCAATTAGTTAATCACAGAGAATTAATATTTTTGATTAGGGCTGAAACCTTTCATTATTGATAAGTCTGCTGAATTGTTTTCTTGATTTGTCATTTATTTGTTTGGTCTATAAAATAGTGTAAAAACAAGTTCCCATTACAGTTTCCCACTGCCCAAGATTCAAATGGCCTGTTTTTATTCTACAGATGGTCCAAAATTCAAAAAGACAATTATTGACCATGTATGACAATGAAAAGCATCAACTTTCACCACGTTTAAGAAGTTGGAATGGACGTTAAGCTATTTTTTATTGAAACCTTACTTTAACTTTTATCTGATTTATTAAAATAATTCCAAGTTATCTAGATTTAGAATGTTTCTGGATCTAGCTTCTTAAATGTGAGAATTTGCTGCTTTATATCATTGCTGACGGGATGTCTTTGGGTTTTGACTGCTGAAGCTTTCCCCTTGTGGACTATGGTGGGCATTTCTGGCTGACAACCAATTTCAAAAACAATCAAGAGAATAACCAATAATGAAAAGAATTAACAGTTGCACCCCTCACCTGTCTGTCCTCGGCAAACATTACAATATCCACAGAGGTAGTGTGTATTGCAGGGCTGCTTTTCTGGATTCTGAGTGTGTGAGTTTCAACCAGGTCCATTTATTTGTTGAGGCTATAAAAGATGTTGTGGATGTTCTAGTGAGGGTCTACTTTCGATCTCTTTCGATGCTCTTAGTCAAATACAGTTTTCCTGTATTGGCCATGTTGTTTTTTTATTAAAGGATACAGCTCAGTCATCCAAAATGCCTAATATTGCCTTGAAAACCCAACTGTAAAATCTGTAATCATCAGGCCTCTGTAGCCGCTTTTGTAATTGTGAGATGTTGCATTCACTCCCTAAATTGCAAAATTACTCATGGTGGGAAGTTGTGGAAAAAATGATGACGAAGAAGAACAGTATTTATTAAGTCTGACTGAAAGACTTCATGTGATTATTTGCTTTAACACATTACAAACCCTTACAAATCAGCACTTACTTACTTGAATTAACTTCTGTCTGTTTCATTAGAGACTGAACATTTTGCAAAATGGTTACTGTGGTTTCCCCAAGAAACACACTCTCTGGAGGTAATTATGATTATGAATTAGCATACAGCTGGGTCTTACAAGAAGAGGTTAAAGTATAGACGTTCAAGCCACAGTGCGAGTAGATTCTCGTATTTATCATGCCCAGGTGACATTCTGGGCTGATCTGCTTGAGACTTGAGAGTTTCATCCGGACCCCAACTGGTTGTTACAAACAAAGAAGCTTTTCAGATTGCATACATTTCTTGTTAAATGTTGTTTATTTACTTCATTAACAGCAAACACACCTTGAATCTCTCTGTTAGATTTGTAGATGTAGCTCAAAGCTTATAATTCCCTGAAGTGTGTTGAACTTGGCTGATAAACAATATTAATCTACAAGCAGTGAAAACTCCTCGGTAGAAGTAATAAAAATATCTTTTAAAGTAAAGCAACCAGCTTCACTGTTCTTCCTCTGAGTATTTGTTTTTTTTCACACCACTCTGGTAACCATCCCAACCTTTTCTTCCTGCTGGTTTATGTTTCTGATTGCTGTTTGTGGCTCGTCATGGCAGTTGTTAACCCTGCTTGTTTCTCGTCAGGCCAGTTCGGATGGAGGTGTGTGCGGCTCCCTCACTCCTCATCACGTCCGTGCCCATTCCTCCCCTGCCTCCCTCCCAGTCAACTCCCTCTCCACTCAAGCAGCAGACGCGACGCCGATCATAACTGACGACGTTCCACTCCCCCATGGCTGGGAGATGGCAAAAACGCCTACTGGCCAACGTTACTTCCTCAAGTAAGATCTATCTGCTGTTAATCACTGCGTTTGATCTGCAGGTTACACAAAGCGTTTCTGATTAGAAAGACCCAAAGAGTCCGCCCCACCTTGTTCTAACATCTACATTTCTACATTGGCACTCATTATTTTCATTGTCTGTGATTCCTGATGACCAAATGGGTTCAATTAACAATCATATAAAACAGCAGCAAATCTGCATTTTTGCTTGATAAATGATCTAAAAGATCATTTAAATCACCAATATTGTTGTATAATCTAATTGTTCTGATTAATCAACCAATCATTCTAGCACTAACACTATTTCAAATGCACCAGGAGTAGTTTTAGATTTTCCTACAGTTCTGTCCTGATACAGAAAATAGTAGATGTTACATCCTTCTTGAATATTTTTCTTTAGAAAGAATATAATTTAAAGTGAAGGAGAACCGTGAAGAGAGAAATGCAGCAGGGCTGAGAGAACCAGGACTCAAACTAATCAGGTACATGCAAACAGAAAAATGGTTCCAACTAGTTTTGCAACAGTGTGGTTTCAGACCGTTTCATGCACATGGCCTGACAGCTCACGCTCCTGTCAAAAGACTGCTGTAGTTTGACGTTTGCCTCTATGAGTTCACATCTGGTAGTACAGGTAAAGCAGGTCCGAAACAAAACGTGCCTCGTGCTTCTTATCCATCAGGTTGCAGCGGTTCAACAGATACAGATACGTTTAGACTTGTTCTGTGTTTGCAGTCACCTGGATAAGACAACCACTTGGCACGACCCCCGACTTTCGCAGCTTCAGTCGGCTGCAGCTCAGCATCCTATCTCTGGCACTCCGGTCCACGCCCACTCCCTCAGCAACCCAGCGCCCACTACGCAACCACAAAACATCAATCCAGAGACAGGTATCACTCTGCTCCCCCCCACCCCCCACCCCCTTTTCAACATCCAGTTTCTTTATAAAGCCCAAACCTGCTTTTCATAGTTCACCTCGGCATGACGCCAAGTCTTTGCTGGGTATGATTTCTTCAAGTTTCCCTTTTGGTCTCTAATTCCACAGCTCTGGTGACTTTGGAAAGAATTAACACATCCATAGCTGATATATTAGTGAGACCGTCCTACTGAATTGAGAGAAATCTTAATTCTCAGAAAAACAGCAGTGAAAGAAATTCAAACTATTTTATTTATACAGATTTTTTTTTTCTTATTTAGCTGCAAGTTTTATAACTTGTCGGACCATTGTGGCCTTTAAATAAATTCCACTCATCAGAATTTTAAATGGTCAGTTCACCGAAATTACAAAAAACACCATCTTACTTCGGCTCTGTGGTAGTTTTTTTTTTTCTTAGCTTTTATGAAACAGAATCAAGAGAGCTGAGTGTGAGGAGACGGGGATGGAGGATGACATGAAACATGAACCAGACCATGTAATGATGCAGTCACATGGTCAGCGTCTTAAAGAATAGGGTCACAATTTTTAAAGTCTGTCTGAAAACAATAGTCTAGTGCCCATATGAACAGGTTTTGCTTGCTGTAATAATTCCTCCTGTTCATACTGCATATTAATATATCCCTTACCAGTGCACTGCTAATGTAAGAGATGGGGGACAACATCCAGTCCTCAGTCTGTGCAAAATTTAATTCAAAAGTTTGGGGTTTCAGAAGTCAGAACAAGTAGATATCTTCTCAAGTTACATTTGTTTTAGTACAAAATTCCTCCTTTTTATTACTATCCCTACACTGCAGCTCAACAGGGACACTGGCTAGGGAAACATATATGGGAATTTTATACTAAAACGACTTCTTATATGAAAGAGGTCACTCGTAGTGATGAACCCACAGGAAGCTATCAGGAAGTGCCATTAAGGTCTACGGAGCATTTTAGCATCTTTCAGCTCATTGTTTTCAATCCCACAACTTTGCTGTTTTGATTTTAGTGCCATCAGTCTTATCAACCTTATTTTTGACCGCAGCATGCAGCTGGTTTTGCAGAAAAAGCTCTAAAAACCCACTGTAAACACAGACAAACATCGTATGCGACTAGCTGGTAAAAACAGAGCCAAAACAGAGTGAATATTAGACTCATATTAACCATGTCACAACTATGACTCCAAATGAATGATAATAATAATCCATATCTCCAGAACATCTAAATAGGCACCAATTTTGCCATAACAACTTTATAAGGTGTGCCAGTGTTGTGTTTACAGCTTATTTAAGCTGCCCCCAAGTGGCCAAAATATCAATTAATGCAGGTTTGTGTACACTTTTCATTGGAACGTCTTTCTACTGAAGAAATAGTCTCAATGAAAACCTTCCATAATGTGTTCTGTGGATTAACTAGAAAGTGTTTCTGTAAAGAGATGTTGCTGTGGAATAATCTAATTTGGCTGAACAGACCCTTGAACTGACAGCATGGCATACTTTATATTCATTTACAGCAGTCTTTTACATCTCTTTACGTCTCCCACCCACCACATTCAGGCAAGATGCACATAGGTTAGTACATTTTGATTCTACATAATATACCTTACTGTAGCTGTTTTCCCACTAACCTTCACTTCTATTCATAACAACTCTACAAACTAGAAGCTACACAGACATTAAATGACGTGGGCCAGATTCTAATATTTACTCTCCATGCACTACATCCACCATTTGCCTTCTCACTGTGTACTTTCACTGCTGTTCAGGTCCACTGCCTGAAGGCTGGGAGCAGGCTGTGACTGCAGATGGAGAGGTGTACTACATCGATCACATAAATAAGACCACCGCATGGGTCGACCCGCGTCTAGGTAGCACACTATCAAATTTGTGTCTCCCTGAATTGACAATTCTTGTTTGTCAATGAGAAACACTTTTGTTCTAATGTCCACCATCACAAGTTGCTGTTTGGCAATGAAAATAAGAGAGATCGCAAAGTTTTTGCCAAGTTTTCCTCACATATGTCATTTGCTGAACTGTTTAACCTCCATGAAAATATTTTCTTAATTGTCAAAAAGATATTTTCTTATTTATCTTATTTTCCAGCCCAGAAGATGAACCCTGGCATCCTTGGCTTGGCACTGCAGCAAAGGCAGGAAAACGAAAGGCTCAGATGCAAACAACAAGGCCTCCCTCCACAACTCACACCACAGGTCAGAGATTAAATAAAATAGTACTTCACTTACATTTAAGTTATATCTTTTGTTATGTTGTTGTATTATGTTGTATTATTCTGTGTAGTCATTTCACAGTGAAATCTTTGTTTCATGTAAACACAGTTTGAGTTTTACATGACGTGATACAAGTAGGTGTGTGTGTGTGTCTTGTACTGTAGGAGGCAGGAGGAAGGAACCAGATGCCCGGCGGGATGGACCATGACAGGAACGCACAGACGCTTGTTCCGTCTCTAGATGTCAGGATCAGAGGCTCAAACCACGAACCTACACTTAATGGGTGAGTTCATGTTTAACATTATTGTCATGTACTGCAGATCTCTTTTGTACTCCTTTTACTGAAGTTAAAGGAGAAACACAGTGTAGAAATCATCACTGAAAAGCTAATTTTCTTGAGAATTGAAAGTAATCTGAAGAGTGGCCTCTTTACAAGTGTTACACAAACAATTGCATGTTGTCTTTCATACTTTTTCTGCTGCCACCACCATACAGTTGGGATGAATGGAATTCCATTTGTGCAGCTCAAAGCATTTACTTTTGAAAGACTCAAAAGTGGTGTCCCAGTTACTCTGGATCAATGATCAATCTCACTGCGAGCAGTTATCATAAAAAAGATTTCTCTGTCAGAAAGTAGTTCCAGTAAAATCTATAGTGTTCAAAGAAGAATTATTATCACTTTTGTCCACCGTCATTACGCAGACATTTTACTAGTCACTCCAGTTTTTAACAGTTAGTGAGCAGATATAATTTTATGTGTGTGTTCTGGTGCAGCGCTCACTCTCGCAACGAAAGCACTGACAGCGGTCTGAGCGTCAGCAGCTTACCCCGCACGTCGGACCACATGTTGAGCTCTGTGGATCACATGGACACTGGTAACACACACACACACACACCAAAGTCAGAAAAACTGCCTTGGGGTGCCCACCATTTTCCTATCATCTTTAAACTTCATAAAAACTATAAATATGTGTATTTTGCTGAAATCAAAGGAAGGATGAATGTGTTGTCCAGATGTGACATCTGTTGATCTAAATGTACACTGTAGCCACTGGGAAGCAGTTTCTTGCAACCTTAGAGTGAATGTGTCTCAAATTTGGCCATAACGCCATGATATTGGCTTATTTAGCGTTAATACCTCAAATTATTTACATTAAAACTAAGAACTATGGTATGCTTTAGAAACTGGTTGTAAAATCTGACTTTTGTCCTGGCCTTCCAGTAATTACTGGCGTATCTCACTGGGAAACAAGTCATTTCCTATGACTTCCCCAAAGACAATGCAGAGTAATTTGTGTTAATTTATTTTGGAATCCACAAAAAACTGTGTAAAAGGGCTTCCCAAACGGGCAGCAATAACACAAAGAAAAAAGCAGGGGAGCTGTTGAATGCAGAAAAGTGAGAAACTCTTAATATGCTAATTATGTGCACAAATACTTCATTACAGAATGAAGAAAGAACACTTTCCTATCTTTATTTTTGCACATATTTAGATTTTAGATACAATTTAGATACATTAAATTTTTTTTGCATTCATCCGCTCACTTCTGTATTTATTTGAGTAAATTTATTTTTTACATAAAAAACAGAAGTGAGAGATGAAAAGCATGGAGTGTGCATTTTATTTATGTACATACACACTTCCTGCAGGGATAGAAAACTTTACACATACTGGTCTATGTGCAGCTGTATTAAAGAGACAACAACATCCAATCCAAATTCCCTAATTTCTCCCAGCTCGGTCATTTTTATCTTCTTTTCTGACTTCTTCAGGTGACTCTGGCGACATCTCCGCGATGACCTTACAGGACTCGATGCCTGTGCTCCCGATGTCTGAGGGTGAAGAGCTAATGCCCTGCATCCCCGAGGGTCTCAGTTCAGACCTTCTGATGGACATGGAGACAGTTCTCTCTGGGTCGCACATGGACAGAGACAGCCTGCTCACCTGGCTATAGACACACCCAGCACACTGCCCAAACGTGTTTTGACATCAAATCTTCGTACCGTGACTGAGAATTCTGGAGAATCAAAAGTGGAAGAGAACAACATAACTGAGAGAACGTGCTACTGTTGTGTGATGGATACCTAACACTACTCGCACCCTGAGGAAAGACAAAACTCTGACTCTCACAGAGGGTGGTAAGCTGCTGGTATTCTCCTCTTTTTGGGCCTGGTTTTACACAGATGCTCCTTTCTTTTTAGTCATCGACCTTATATGATGCTCTGCACGTCTCTGACAGAGTGCACCATAGCTAATTTTAGAGGACAGATTTATTTTATTATCCCTACCTGGGTAATAGTGTTTGCAGAAAACTGTGTCATGTCAATTAAGTTTGCATGTAGCAGTTACATAAATGCAAGGAGACTTGTTAAAATAACATAGAAGTTGTAGTAAAGTAACAAAGTATCATATCCACATCCACATTTCTTCATATAGCCTGTGGGATAAAAGAGCAGCATCTAGTGCTACTACCTCTAAGCAGCCTGTAATTTGTTATTTGTAATGCACATTCTCACAGTTGTCCAAACCAAGAGAGAGCAAGAGATGAATCAAAGAATGTACTTGGATAAACATTACATTGGTTGTCCCTGCTAAAAAAAAAAAGAAAAAGAAAATCATTCATCAAAGCTCCTACCACTGCTACACAGAAACATCTGGGTGGAGAGGACGCACCCTTGTGGTAAACCTGTAGAAGAATAAGAACACTAACAAGAGTCCTTTTCACTCTGAAATGTTAAAAAGTTAAAATGCTCACAAACCAATAAACTATATTAAAACCTGTCTGTGTGAAAGACTGGGGGACTGCTCAAAACCAAGGTTGTAATATCTTTAAGTTTTTTTCCAAAATGAAGTAAAGGAGGCTAAGCTTTAGACCTAACAAATCAAAGCCTGTCAAAGGCCTTCACATTTAGAGAAAGGTTACAGGATGGCGCCTCTACGTAGAGGAGTCTTAACTTCGGGCACTTAAACTACAGGAAAGTGTTTTTTTAGGACCTCTCTTTACAGAAAGGATGTCTAAGGTAAAAGAACAAATTTTCACTATAATGCAATCCAACACAATACAGGGTTTCCCCCAGGAAACTGTAATCCTGGCGCATCTGGTCATCTGATCAATGTAGTAATAAACTATAGCCACACTAGATATATGGCCTTTGCTGTGTGAAATAGCATCGCTGCTATTTTTCCCTTCAGGTTATGGTTTTATTTCATAAAAGTGTTTTGTTGTTTTTTTAAACCATAAGACTCAAAAAAGACTTCAGGAAATCCCCGTTATACAGCCTTGCTATATATACATATATAAAAATCACTTATTTCAAATTACTCATTCAGGTTTTGTTAAATCTTTCATGGGATTGCATTTTATGGTTAAGTGTTCATTTTGTCCACTCCAGCATTGAATATAAGCTTCACAAATGTAGTATTTATTGGAGGTTTGTTTTATTGGATTGCATTAAATTGTACAGTTTTAATGTTATGTCCACCGCTTGTTTTAAGAAAGTCTCAGCCAAGTTTCATCTACGCTTTTCAGATGCACTTTTCTTACCATTTTCAGGCATCCATTGTTTTTCCAGACTCTTGAAACTTGCTTGAGTTATGTAATCACTCACTGTGAACATCAAGTCTGCAGTATTTCTTCATCATTGTGGCATGGTGCAAATTAATTTGAGGAGTTCATGCCGCATTACCACACAGTGATGACATAACACTGAAAGAAAATAATGCACACTTGATGTTGACTGTATCTTCATCAGGATGGTGTCTGAGGCTGTTTAGGGTTTCCTGTATATACAGTTCATTGATCAGTCATCACCATAGATACATGTATACAAAACCACATTATCATCATAATTATCTTAAAAAAACAATTTACAAAAATATTATTATTCTTTGTTGATACAGAAATTTCAAGAGGAATATAAATGAACATGCATACATTAGTGTATTGTTATAATAATCTGTTTTCTTGATAATAGTGAGTATTCTTTAGCAAATATAGTCTTTCATTTTAACCCATTAATGGGTAAAACGGTTGCATATGAATGTTTAAATACAATTCTGTATCTTTTTTTTAACCTAATTCAAAACACAGTAATCTCAAATCCCTTTTGTCATCTCACGAATTAAAAAAGTCAGTCTACGGAATTTCACAACAGAAGCAAGTTTTAAGATCCTGTTAATAGATTTTAAAGTTGTTTGGACATGTATGGATTAGATGCGTGGAACACTAGAAAAAATGTGTCAATTTCTAAAGCAGGGCAGCACAGTTTGCGAGATAGTTAGCAATGTAAAATGCATTTGATTTGTAAATAGTCTAAAACATGTCAAATCCCTTGTATAACCCTTTAAAAACAATCCTGGACGGTGCCATTAAGATCAAAGCTTGCTACCTTTCTGTAGAGTTATTATTTCTTCTGTCTGTGGCTCAAGCTGACCACTCTGAAAGAGTTGTTTTATGAAAATATTGTGCTTTGAAAATGGACTCTGCGCCCATTTAGAGAGTCATGGGATAAGTCAAGAACCCTCAGAAAAGCAACAT